AACAGCTTGCTTGGTGCCTAAGAAAACAATTGGCATCCATCAACAAAAGTGACACACTGCTGTTTCCCCATCTTTATTTTCTATGCCAAACAATTACAAAGATGATGAAAACTCTCTTAGTTAAACTAGGAAAATGTTGGGAGATATGAATAGGATCCTTCTTAGATCATAGCAGTTCTCCATTGATTCTGGATGTACTCCTTTCTGGGTGCATTCTGCCGATGCATAGCTGTTCCCAAATTAATAATATATTTGGTTTTCTAAAAAATAACAAGGCAGCAGTCTACACTGTTACCTATTCCTAGGACTTCATCAGCAGTTTTCTCTGCTCCTCCCATTCATTCTGCTTTTCTCCATTGCTTTCTGAATGGGAGCTAAGTGGGCTGTAAATTCTCTCCTTATTAACATCCTTTCTTAATGACTGTAGTTCAGCAAGTAAGATCTGGAGATATGCCCTGGGGTGAAACAGACAAGCATCATCTCCTGCTTTGAAGGCCACCTGAGAACTAGATAGCCCTATAACTCTGCAGGGCTTTTAATTCAATGAGTTAGCATTCCAAGTCTAGCCCTGGTGTATTTTGGAGTACAAGCACCCAGTCTGGTTGTCCAAAACTAGGGATGGCTTAACAGCTGTTGGATGCAGAATGGATTAACCAGTTCATGGCGCTCAGGCTCTATATCTCCCTCTCATCTCTTCCGGCCTCCTACATACACCATTTATTATTGTAATTATTTGTATGTTTTAAACAGATTTTCTATATGTATATAGTTTTAAGTCTATTAATGTTTAGTTGTTTTTAATTATGGTTATTTCCCCCATGTTTTTAGTGATTCTTGTTTTTATCTGTAAGCTTGCCTTGAGTCCCATCAGGGAAAAAGGGAGGCTATAAATATATAACAATATTCCCCCCCCCAAAAAAGTAAATGTGGTGTCATGGGATCCAATTCAGATTAGGATCACAGCCCTGGGGGTGGAGATGGGTAAACTGTTACCTCCATGTACCCATTCCTGGTCTGAATCACTCTGCCAGCAGCAGCTGGCTTTGCAGAACAACACCTGCCACTCCCACCAGCTCTTGGCGGGAGATTTGGGCCAGGAAACTGGTGCAAAAGGAAGGAGTTTAAGTCCCTCCTTTTGTTATGACCCTGATCCAAACTGAGATTTTTCCATGGCTGCATTTATCCTTCCCCCGCCAAAAAAAGGGGGGGAGAACAGTTCTCCCAGGTAATTGTACTCTCTGTCTCTGTGTTGCTGTTGTTTCAATATCTTGGCCTGGAAGGGCCAGTTTCTTTGAACATACAGCACAGCAGCAAGAAACTTTGATTAGACTAAGGCCAGTATGGACAGAGTGCAAGATCTGGACCAGCAAGACCCCGTTCATATCCCTACACAGTTGTGAAACTCACAGGAATGCCTTGAAGTAAGTCGTCCTCTCTCACAGTCTGCCCTACCTTACAGGTTTGTTGTGAAGTGAATGTATACTTCCGTGAACTGATCGAACACAAATGCATGCTACCTAAAACTCATGTGTTAGTTGCTAGTTAGTTACACTTAGGTCTGTTGCCATATGGTAGCCAGACTTTATTTGTCTTGAATATAAAAGGTAAAGGTACCCCTGCCCGTACGGGCAGTCGTGTCCAACTCTAGGGTTGTGCGCTCATCTCACTTAAGAGGCCGGGAGCCAACGCTGTCCAGAGACACTTCCGGGTCACGTGGCCAGTGTGACGAAGCTGCTCTGGCGAGCCAGCACCAGCACAGCACACGGAAACGCCGTTTACCTTCCCGCTATGAAGCGGTACCTATTTATCTACTTGCACTTAGGGGTGCATTCGAACTGCTAGGTGGGCAGGAGCTGGGACCGAAAGACAGGAGCTCACCCCACCGCGGGGATTCGAACCGCCGACCATGCAATCGGCAAGTCCTAGGCACTGAGGTTTTACCCACAGCACCACCCGCGTCCATCTTGAATATAAGTATTCCAAATAAACCATCACAGAATGCCATAGAGGTCTAAAACACATCAGATTCTGCCTGTGTGTAAACTCATCCTTCTTGGAAAGCCTGTAAAAATAAACAAGCTCTTAGTATAAAAAGTGTACAATGTAACTTCAGCGGGCTGTGTGTTGCACAATTTCCAATACTTCGCATCTCAACCTTTTCACATTGATGCACAATTTGATGTGTACAACGCCAGGAAGGATACCTCCACAGGTATTTGCTAAGTCCATCACCATTTTACAGCCCCATAGGGAATTAGAAAGCAAAGCTACTCTGACTGTTTTCTGAATCACAAAACATCAGTGGGAATAGAGCTGGTTAGAATTTTTTTGTTCAGAAAACTTTTGATTTTTTTATACTCTCCCAGGCTAAATCTCCTTTTTTGTCTGATAAAGTCACATGTCAGGGTTCCCTTGGAGGCATCTTAATCTTTCATCACATTGAAGAGAGAAGAATTATAACACCAGAAACTCTCCCCCCCCCCTTTGCTCTCTCTGCAACTGATTCACATAAGGATGAGTAAGGCTAGAGACAAGATGCAGTATGAAATGGTACCTTCCACCACCCTGACAATCTGCTATTAGCTTCCAGATGTTCCCATCAGTTATATGTTCATTGTTGCTGAAGGATATGGTAGGATTCCATCTATTTCTGCTCTAATCCAGGTCCCAACAGGGAAGGAGAATAAATGAACAAGGGCAACTGAACTGAGTTACATGAATGAACCACGCACTATATGCCACCTGTTTTTCCACATGATGAGTCCATACATCATGCTGATCAAATGTCTGGTGCTGGGTAAGGACTAGAATATCACTAGATGCTCACAAGTGGTCCTTTGCAAGGGAAGAGCTACAGCCTGCTGCTTAAAGTAGCAGACAGGCAGTGGCATTTAAGTGCTCATTGGAGCTGGTGGAAAGTCGAGAGGTCAACAGTGGATGGAGCCAATGCCAGACAGAGCCAACTCATTCTAGTTTTGCCTGCTGACTCCCTATCTTATTGGGCTCCAACTCCCATCAACCCCAGCTAGTCTGGATTAAGGCTGAGATTAGAGTTTAAGGGTCCCAATCTTAAACACACAATCAACAGCTGAATTAAGATATGTGAAGTCGTTTCAGCATGAGGATTTGGGATTAGGGATGGGCTCTGATCTCAGATACCTTGCCTTTTATTCAAAGCAAAGAGCCAGATCTTGCAGAATCCCAGTGAAGCAAATGAAATTACCCATTTTGATGCATAATGCTTGGCTCAAGTTTTACCATGCCACACACCTAATCAGTGTGTGACATGCAATTACACGTCTGTATGCTGTTTAAGGAACAAAGTAGAAAAAGTGGTACTTCACCGATTGCATTCTCAAGTTAACCCATTAAATATGAATAGGTCATTCAAGCCAGACACATTGAAATGTCATGTGTTGAGATGAAATCCATAGGCTTGTAAATTAAATTGAAGGGTTGTATCCAATGCTAGTCATACTCAGAGCAGACCTATTGAAATTAATGGGCATGACTAACATAGGTCCATTAACATCAATGGTTCTACTCTTGAGTATAACTTAGCTGGATATATATGAAAGTTTGAAAATGTGTATTTTTATGGAAGCACACCCAGCTGGAAGTGGAGGGAGTATCAGCTCTGCATTGCTACTTCATGATGACATGGACCTCAACTTGATGCAGATCTGGGTTCAATTATTTCTCTGGGAATCCAGTGCATGTCAAGAGCCTTGCTAAAGAGACACACACACACACACACACACACAGTTGGAGCTTGATCCTGCTAACAACTACCTAAATGAATCCATTTAAAAAAAAAAAGAGGGCTTGCAAAGTGAACCAAATGAAACTTCCAAAACTTTTTTTTTATTGTGTGGGGAGCATATAAAAATATACACATTGAAATGAAGTAGAAACATGAAATCTCCTCTTAATACTCATTAACAGATTAATAATTCACTTCTCAACATTTGCACAAATGCTGTAATATTAAATCAGAGCAGATCAAATCAAATACAATCACAGTTCAGATATCTGTGGACTATCCAAAAGATAGAAAATGATTAGATTTATTTTCTGTTGGGCCACTTTGTCTAAAGTGCTAACATTAGGAACATAGAAAGCTCTCTTATACAGACTATTGGTCCATCAAAGTCAGCATTTCCTACACTGACTGGCAGCAGCTCTCCAGGATTTCAGGACTTTTCCAGTCCTACCTGAAGTTAAAGGTAAAGGTAAAGGTACCCCTGCCCGTACGGGCCAGTCTTGACAGACTCTAGGGTTGTGCGCCCATCTCACTCTAGAGGCCGGGGGCTGTCCGGGTCACGTGGCCAGCGTGACAAGCTGCATCTGGCGAGCCAGCGCAGCACACGGAACGCCGTTTACCTTCCCGCTAGTAAGCGGTCCCTATTTATCTACTTGCACCCGGGGGTGCTTTCAAACTGCTAGGTTGGCAGGCGCTGGGACCGAGCAACGGGAGCGCACCCCGCCACGGGGATTCGAACCGCCGACCTTTCAATCGGCAAGCCCTAGGCGCTGAGGCTTTTACCCACAGCGCCACCCGCGTCCCATTTCCTACCTGAAGTTGCTAGGCACTAAATCCTGGACCTTCTGCATGCAAAGCATTTGCTCTACCACTGAGCTACAGTCCTATAACCTGAGAATAAACCCCATTGAACCTGAGGGAATTTGCTTCTGAGTAGACATGAACAGGCCTGCCCTGCAAATTACAAAGCAGCTCACTATAAACCCCTATTCTGTAATGTGGGGAATATTAATGATCTACCTTTCAGGGCTGTTGTAGTTACCTGAGTATAAAAGTAGTACAGTGGTACCTTGGGTACTTAATTCGTTCCGGAGGTCCGTTCTTAACCTGAAAGTGTTCTTAACCTGAAGCACCACTTTAGCTAATGGGGCCTCCCACTGCGCCATTGTCATGCAATTTCTGTTCTCATCCTGAAGCAAACTTCTTAACCCGGGGTACTATTTCTGGGTTAGCAGAGTCTGTAACCTGAAGCGTCTGTAACCCGAGGTACCACTGTATCATAAGGATTTTATAAAAATGCATGTGGCAAGTTCCCTCAGTCTTCATCTGCTATATGGGGAACAATAACCTGGACTGGGGACTCCTTTTCAGCCTTTCTGGAGGCCCCATGACCATGGGGAGCAGAGCCAGAGGAACACATAGGCAGAGGAACAAGTGAATGTTACCCTTGTACATTAGGCTAGTTTCTACACATACACACAGAGAAACCTCTTTCCTCCATCCAAGGAAGCAAAAAACATGATCAGAGTTCATAGACACATTCCAGCCAGGCAAAAACAGCAAAGGAATGTGCCAAACATGCCTGGGGAGAGGATGTGTGACTAGGGATGGGTTGAGGCCTGGGGGAAAGTCCCAAGTGCCAGAGAGGTCTGGAGGCACATTTTGCCCATGGATCTTGTTTACAGGATTGTTGTTAGCATTTCAACTAGGTAATGCATGTGAATATCTGAAAGCACTAGACAAATGTTAAAATTATATAGCTGCTTTTGAAAAAACGAAATGCACTGCTTGACTGTAATAAAACCTCTAAGTGGTTTACCCAACAAAATTAAAATTCTAGGTAAAGAATAAAGTGGTTCCAGGCTGTTAAGGGCTCTATATACTAATAGTATATATCTGATTAATTCTGCACATGCATACATCTTTACCAAAATTAATGGTTCCAGTTATTTTCTGTATTTGATATTGGAAAAAAAGTCCAATCCCCACCCAACCCCGGCTAAAAACATACCTATTAATGCAGAAAGCATTTTGAATTAGCTTATGGCTTACATCTTATCATAAAGAGCAATATATTGATAAAGTACAATATATTGCACTGCAAACACAGACAACTTTATCAGTGGGTTGTGAATGAACACCAGAATTTTATGGCACATCAATGTTCTCAGGGTCACCCTTACAAAGAAGTAAGTTAATCACAGTGTTTAACATCTCTCTGATGCTATTATTGCACAACTCTCCGAACAACACACTATCAAGCCCTAAATCAAGCATAAGCTGATCATGCTAAATCGATCACAGGAGATGGGCTCTTGTCTAATTTTATATCAGGCTTCTCCAGATGTTGCTGTTCTGCCCAATGACATGACCTAAATTTAAGGGGCAGCTTGAAGCTGGTCTGTGTCAAGCCCTCGTTAAATGTCAAAACCCAGTAAGGTCTTGCTGAATGAATTAGCTTTTTTAAAAAAACCACATTGTAGTTATTTATTTTCACCCCACTTTCCCACTCACCCATTTATATCTCTGTGCAAAATATATTCAAAGCCTATGTATCCAGGGATCTCGGTAGCTATAAATATAGCTCTGGAAGAGCAGGCTTTAGTGCAAATCCTTCTGTGGGTCAGCAGCATCCCTGACGATTGACTCAGAGGGGCAGGAAGACAGTTCTAGGGTCCTGGCATCCTATAAAGTAGGGCATGGGCATTGGCCAGAGAGCACCAGGTTGCCCTCCAGAGTTGGTTCTGGGATCCAGAGTTGGAGCTGGCATTGGAGGGAAGGGGATGCCAGAAGGAACAGCTTCCCTCCCAGTGAAAGTATGCTGGTGTGGAGAGTAAACATAGGACACAGGCCCACTCTGAGGTCCAAAAGGGAGGGGGCTGTAAAATGGCACTGCATGAAAAGGTTCGGGTCTTATCTCCTGCAACTGACGCTTCAGTTTCATCCGTCGGTTCTGGAACCAAGTCTTGATCTGTGGACAGGAGAGAGAGAGAGAAGTGGATGAACTAATGGAGGAGCCCTTCATTGGTCAACAGAGCATTCTCCCTCACTCAACCACTTTTATGTTGAAATCATTCTGCTTCTTTAAAATTTCCCAAACCACCATGTAATTTCCAGGTTGTCATTTTTTTTGGGGTGGTGGTGGGTGGAGACCTTGAACCTCACACTGAAGGAAAGGCATGATATAAAATGCAGTAAGAATTGTTTAAAGTTAATGAGAAGTCAGTCAAGGAAATTCTCTCATGCACACATCCATACCCACCTGCCTCCCCAAAAGTAGCTAGGTTATTTTATTTACTTTTACTCAGTATAATAGCCATTTTAGGGTCTCTCTCTGTTTGTCAGGAGTTGAGCCAGCCTGGTCGCTTACCTGCACTTCGGAGAGTTGCATCTTACTGGCCAGTTTGCGTCTCTCTGCGGCGCCCAAGTACCTGTGACGCTTAAAGGAGTTCTCCAAGGTGCTGATCTGCTCCACGCTGAAAGCGGTGCGCAAGCGGCGGCTGTTGGTGCTTCTACTACCGCTGCCCTCTTCTGGGGTCTGGCCCTCCGAGAGGCTCCCTTCGCCGTCCGAGCTGGCCTCCGTTGCACTCCACGTCCGCTTGGGAGCCTCAGACGCCTCTGGCAGAAAGAAGAGACAAAAGCCAGGGTCAGGGACACGCCCACCGTGGAAATCAATAGCGGGTAGGTTAGGATAAAGGAACACTTTTCCCACGTTGGGAGAAACTGATGTTTTATCTCCCCAAAATCCTAGGGCAGTAAGCTGGGCTCAGCTGTTTCCGGCTCATTCGTCCAGCCTACATGCATGTCTAATAAAAAAAAAAGAGCCCCATTGCACTGAAGAGAACTTACTCCCAATACAAATATGCATCGCATTGCAGTGTTAGCGCCGTTCATTCACAGCACCGGGAAACACTTCCATTATCCTCTATTTTATTCTGCTCTATCAATCGCTGTCTTTGAAAACCCCGAACTATCTCACAATAAAAACATCAATAACAACACACACAAGCGACTTCTAGGCCAATGCAGAGAAGATTGGGGGTGGGGAGATCTCCACTTAAAAGACTTGTTAAAAGAGAAAGGACTTCAATAGATGCCGAAAAGATAATAAAAGAGGTGACCGACTGGTGGAGGCAGTTGCAAAGGATCTGAACCGCCACACCAACAGTTGCGATTCCCTTCCCCTGCCCTGGGTAGTTTGTTGATAAGAGCATGAGACTTTTAATCTCAAGAGTCGTGGTTTCGAGCTCCACGTTGGGCCAAGTGACCCTCGTGGTCCCTCCTAAGTCAATGATTCTATGATTCCTACGCCTGAGTTTGCCATTTGATGTAAGAGTTTCACCTGGGTGATTAAGTCTTATAGAGCTGGTTAGGACTTCCCGCACAGGATCGGGATATATTTCAGCCAGGTCTTCACCCGCAAAGTTGGCTTTTAGTTTGACAGATAGAGGTGCAAACACAGGCCACTATTTCCAGGTGGAAAGAAGGGCTCGGATGGGTTTTCGGGAAAGCGGCTTGCGATCAGCTCGCAGCTCGGTCTTGCCAAAAGAATTGACGGGAAGCAAAGGACCTGATCAGTGGCCGGGAAACCGGAAAATAGTAAGTGGCCTATACTCTATTCCGTGCTCGATTGTTAGGAAAACCGAGCAAGTGTCTCGCTTCCCATTATTAATGTTGCCGCCTTTCCAACCTCCTAGGCTTTCGAACCAGCGTCCCCAGAAAACCCCTTCGCGCCCCGACGGGCAATATTCCCCACGTTGGAAGGTCCGGCTAGACTCTAGAGAGCACTAGGATTCGCCCTTCCCCAAAGTTGCATTATTCCGTCGAAAAAAAGCAACAGCAGGGGCACTTGCTTCCGAGGAATCGCGAGTTTAGAAACCAGGAGATCAATGTAAAAAACCTATAAAGATAATAAGAGCCGTGCTGGATCAGGCCAGCGACCCAGCAAGTCCGGCGTCCTGGTCTTAACAGTAGCCAGCCAGATGACCATGGGAAGCTCAATAGCGTTCTCCCCACCTCCGTTTCCCAGCAGCTGGTATCAATCAGGACACAAATTGGAAGTTTAGTGAAGGCAAATTGATAGCTTCTCCTCCATGAATCGGAGCCTGCTAGAGAAGTAGTACCTGCTGACGTCGAGGAGGAATCCACTTTCTTCTGGAGCGAAGGGAAATGTTCAGAAGGCGGTTCGTGGCCCCTGGGGTCGACTTTTTCCCCGACCGGCCTTCGTTCTCTCCCGGCAGACCGGCAGTTAGACGGAGGCTCGTTCTGCTGGGTCCGGATGCCGTCGGGGAAGGTCGAAGACGCTGTTGGGCTGGCTCCTTCCCTGCTCCGGGCGTGGTTGGTGGCTTGGCTGCTCTGGGACAGCCACTCCACGGAGAAGGGAGCCTTGGTCATGGCGCGCTTGCCGTCGGGGGTTAGACGAGCCCGGGTCCTGTGCGGGAGTGCTAGATGAGCCGAAGCCTTTGGACGCGCAGGCCGTGACGCGCATCTTCCCTTATATGGGGCGCCCCCAAGTAAACAGCGACAGGGGTAAACACAACATCAAAGGCCAGATAAGTACCGGCTCATTATCATCATGCCTCCCCGACAAAAGAGGTTGTTCGCACATTTTCCAAAGCCCTGGTAGGGCTGGCTCCACCGTGTCTGCCGAGAGATCATTTCATTGGATTGTAAGCGATTTACAGGACTTGTCACATCCTTTATCCGTCTATGCAAATGTTCGCTTACTGCCCGACTCGATTGAAGGAGGCTTCAAAAGGCAACCGGGGAATTTCAACGGAGCAACGGCCTTTTCTTTTTCTTTTTTCTTTCTTTTTTTTCAAATACACATTTCAGAGAAAAACGGGCCTGGATATCATTTGCCGTCTTCTTCAGACTGGAATGAGGACCCGTTTCAGAGTGTATTTCCTTAAAGAGCTGCCAGGGTCGTAAAATGGATGTCAGAGAAGGCAAAGGTGAGCTTTAATGGAGGAAAGAAGACTCGTCGGTTGTTGCTGTTCGATCAGAGTTAAGCTTTTTCCATTCAGTATAGCAGGGCCAGGCAAGCTACATTTTGTGCTGGACCCCCAAGATCCAAAAGGCCCTTCCAATGAAACAATCCAGGCAGTTGTTTTGTGTGCAAGGCCTGGAGTCCACAGGCCTTCTAGGAAAACACGCTTCCTGGTTCTCCTCAAGCTTCTTCATAATTTAGAGAGGGTCAGAAGAGCCGCTTTGTTGCTGTCATTGTTGAGCAGTTGGGAATCAGACATCCTGACTGGTCCATTGCAGATTGCTGAGAGATCCAGGAGCAGACCCCGAGCTCCTAGACCTCTCAAGCCTTGCAAACCCCAGCAATTGCACCAGCCCGGTTTTGAGGTTTTCGTACTGTTGGTTATAATTTATTAGTGCCCATGACCCTCCCTCTCCAAAATAATAGTTTTGCCTCTCCAAGTCACTCCATGGTTCTTCTCCCTTCTTGGTATAGTGGAATAGTGGTAGCTATTGGACTCCAAACTCCCATCAGGTCTAGTCAACATGGCCAGTGGTCAGGGATAATTTGAGTCAAATCCCATCAACATGTAGAGTGTACTATGTTGGTGGAACCTGGGGTTAAAACGTTGGTCTCCTAGGACCTGGAAGACCAGGGTTCAAAGCCCAACTTGTCATAAAGCTCACTGATCTGGGAGCAGTCACCAACTTTTAGCGTAAATTACTTTGCAGGGTTGTTGTGAAGGGGGAAATGAGAAGGGGGGTGTCATGCAGTCCACATTGAGCTCCTTGGAGGAGAGGTGGCATAGACATCTATAAATAAGTAAATGAACAGAATTCTCACAAACAGCCCCCAATATGGGTTATTTTGAGAGTTTGTTGCTGTCCTAAGATCGCGATTTAAGATTCATGACTGATTGGGGTTTTGAACCTAGGACACTGCCAGTCCTGCTTTACACCATGTTGACTTTCCCTGGTAGTAGTGAAAAGGGCAGGCCATAGTTTGTGTGTTGTGATATGCAGGTATGTGCATATGTTTGTTTTCAACATTACAGACACTTCAGGTTACAGACACTTCAGGTTACAGACTCCGCTAACCCAGAAATAGTACCTTGGATTAAGAACTTTGCTTCTGGATGAGAACAGAAATAGCGCAGCAGCAGCAGCAGCAGGAGGTCCCATTAGCTAAAGTGGTGCTTCAGGTTAAGAACAGTTTCAGGTTAAGAACGGACCTCCAGAACGAATTATGGTAAGTTCTTAACCCGAGGTACCACTGTATTTCTACAGTGAAATCTAGGGCTCTGTTTTCACAGTTTCCTTTTCTGAGCTTTGACGCACCCCATAAGCAACATAATATAAGAGACAGAAAATTCTTAAATTGGCATTTTGGTTAATTCTCTGCCACCAAGGTTTGGTGTTCAGGAGAACAGCAGTTTCAAGGGAGAGAATGAAAAACATATTAAAGCTTCCCTGAGTGCAATTTAGAAGGAATACAGATTAACAATACAGATTGTGTGATCTGCACACAATCACTCGGTTTCAGCTCTGAGTTTATACAGATAGGTCAACTAGTTTGGGTTGAGTTTTCTCACTTTGGGGTTGCTTAGCTAGCCATGCCATCCAAACAAGTGCTCAGGAGGGGTTTACTAGTTGTTTTAATGTTTGCCCCATCTCCCTACATTCAAGGGAGCTTTTTGTCACAACATTGTGAATTCTAGCTACACAGAAAATCACTGAGAGCCAGGCATTCTTAAACTTGTAGGCTTCAATGGCCTTAAAGCATGTCTCATTCTAGGTGAGATGGTGCCTGATTCTGTGTGAGATGGTGGTACAGATGTTTAGTAAAACTACCATCTGTAGCCAAGTAGATCTGAGAAACTTTTCCCAGTTTAGCACCTGAACAGAAATCTCTGAAAACAAGGAGGGATAGATCTGTATCTGTAGATCTGTGGCATTTAAATACGTAGTGATTTGCATACATTATGTAAGCATTCCTTACAATAGCCCTAGAAGATACTATAATCCCTGCAGTGTCGGCCAATATGGTTTCAGTCTTTTGTGATCTACTCTCCCCCACTCTAAACAGAACCCTCGTGGTGCATTACACAATTTAGCTCTACAAAGCACCAGTGTTTATGGGGGATTTCTTTAACAGTTAAGGCAATAACTTAATCTGTGTTAGTGATGCCTAACAATATTAAGTAATGGCCTGCTGGATTCAATCAAGGCCCACCCTATCTAGTATTCTTTGGAAGAATCCCCACGAAGCAACAGGGGGTAGATGGCCCTCCAGAAATTGGCAAAACCTGATATACTTTCTGCCAGCCCTGTTGTAGATGAAGCTCAGACACAAGGGCTTCCTTGTTTAATACTATTTTATTAATTCATGGCTAAGGAGAAATATAAACCAAAAAGACGTCCACACTTACACCTTTTGCTTCGATACCTACCACAACAGAGCACCACATCCAAAACACGCCAGAAGTGGCTGTAATGTTTTCCTCTGGCATCCAGGCAGGTCACTGATTAGCACTCATTTTCTGAATGTTTTTAGGGAATACAGTAGCAGCATCTCTATAAAGAAACAGACTATCAAGGAATTTTGGGCCTGCAAACCTTCAACTGGTAAAGGTAAGCTGGAACAGGTGAGTTTTTGCATTGAACATGTAACCATTGTAAAACATGGTTCTTTTTCACCAAAAACCCCCTCCAGAATAAGCACAACCTACCCACACTATACCCCATATTTTCAATTTGCAGCTAATATTTATCTGTGAGATCATCAACCAACCTAGCCCCTGGGCGATACTGTCTCCAAATCCACGTTCAGTAATGTGAGACAGATCTCCTGTGTTTTTATTGATTGTAGAGGCGGAAAGATTTTTTTATCATTTATTTATTGCAGCTGCCATGTTTCCTGATAGTGATTTAATGGGGGCAGGGGAGCTGTATCTTTTGAAATTTGCCTTCTCTTTGGCTGTTACCAGTTAGGTTTCTGGGCCTGAATTGAATCTGGTAATCATATTTATTGCTACAAGAAAAGTATTGACCAGTAGGCTAGGTTGGGTAGGTCTGCCGAATTGCCAGTTTAGTTCATTGGCAGGAAAACAGGGTTAATGGCAACACATTTCTTGATGCTTTTTATGAAGCTGCCGGGTCGTAACACTGAGCTGCAGAAAGTGCTAGCAGTCATTGTTCTTTCTCTCCTCCACTACCCAAAGTGTTATGTCTGTGGCAATGCTGTCCTCATTACAAGGTTCTTGCTTTGGGGGGGGGCATAAATCAGTGACATCCTTCCATGAGAAGGTCCCAGGTTCAATCCCTAGAATCTCCAGCTTAAGAAGGATCAGTGATGGAAAAGAATCAGAGTTGATAATGGCTGGAGGAAATGGACAAATTGTCCAACTTGATACAAGGCTGCATCCTATGCCATAAACAAGGAGTGGGGGGTTTCTTTCAGCTTGAGGACTACATTGCCATCTCTGCAGCCTTCTGGGGACCACAGGCAAAAGTGAGCATGCAGTTTAGCATTGTACAGTTGTTTAGTTGTTTAGTCATGGCTGACTCTTCAGGACCCCATGGACCAGAGCATGCCAGGCACTCCTGTCTTCCACTGCCTCCCGCAGTTTGGTCAAACGCATCGTGGTAGCTTCAAGAACACTGTCCAACCATCTTGCCCTCTGCTGTCCCCTTCTCCTTGTGCCCTTCATTTTTCCCAACATCAGGGTCTTTTCCAGGGAGTCTTCTCTTCTCATGAAGTGGCCAAAGTATTGGAGCCTCAGCTTCAGGATCTGTCCTTCCAGTGAACACTCAGGGCTGATTTCCTTCAGAATGGAGAGGTTTGATCTTCTTGCAGTCCATGGGACTCTCAAGAGTCTCCTCTAGCACCATAATTCAAAAGCATCAATTCTTTGGCAATCAGCCTTCTTTATGGTCCAGCTCTCACTTCCATACATCACTACTGGGAAAATCATAGCTTGAACTATACGGACCTTTGTCGGCAGCATTGTACAGTAGGCCTCTCTATCTTCATCCAGGTAATCAAGGGGTATTATGATAGTAAAAGGGCACATTCCAAGCAAGAGCACTCAGGGAGCGCACAAAGTAGGAATGGTCAGGGTTAAGAGTGAGAAGGTAGTGTGGCCTGGGGGGAGAGTCTTGAGGGCCAGATAGAAAGGCCCAGAGGGCCATTTTTGGCTCCCAGGCCCGAGATTCCCCACCCCTGCCATAAACCAATTGTTCACAAGGGCTATTAAAGTGCCAATGTATTATTCTGCTATCTGTAAAGATTGGCAGATAGGCATCTGGTTCCCTAGATGGCAAAGCTAGGATCCTTTAATTTTTTTAAAAATAAATTTTTATTAATTTTCCAAACACATAATAAAAACAAACAATACACAAAACAAAAACATACAAACATATAAACATGTATAATTTCATAATCTTATTTTCATGCACCTTACTTCCCGGACTTCCCCATACCTCCCCTTTTCTGCATCCTTGTTTTACATTTCTTCAGCAACCCTCCAATTAACTAATTATTTAATTCACTTTCATTAGATTCTTTTTTCTTTAACTTATTGATTACAGCTGCAATTCTCTATTTCTTAACACCTTAACATCTTAGCACTCCTCAATTTTACAGCAATTTTTAAGATAAATTTTAAATTTCTTCCAGTCTTCTTCCACTGTCTCTTTCCCCTGGTCACGGATTCTGCCAGACTGGAAGCTAGGATCATTTAAAGCTAGGATTCATTGTTCACCAGCACCTAGAGCACCTTGCAAAGTCAATCCTTTTGGTCTCAGCAAAGGCCATCAGCAATAATAAATAAATAAACCCAGCCCATATCCCTGGAGGGGCTTAAATGACACCGTTGATCTGCAGACAAACAGCTGCTTTGTCCAGATTTGTATTCTATTTTGCATTGTTCAGGACCACCTGATTGCCATGACATTGTTTAGAAAGGAATTTCCCCTCAGGTCTGTGTAAGAAGGGGCCAAACCGATGGATGGCTATTCTTTAGGGTTTGCTCAGATGGGACCTTTTGCTAAGGTCTGGTAAGTCTTGTGTCTGAGCTTTGGAGCTGGTGTCCTCATCCCTCCCCCCAAACACAGCATAACTCTCTTCAGTTGTCTGCAGCATTATCCTGTTTCAGACTGCCTCATTCCTTATGCTGCACCTTGATCCCTGAGATCCTCCAATGAGGTTTGGCCAGCTATTGCCAGGAACTGAGCCTTTAATGTGGCAGACCCTGCTCTTTGGAACTCCTTGCCAATAGAAAGTCAGCAGGAGCCTGAACTTTCAGAACTTTCTTTCAGACAGGCCTTAAGAATGTGGTTTCCCCCCCCCCAAAAAAAAAACCAACGTGTTTTTATAGAAATGTTATTGATGTATGATGGTCAAAAAGTTTTTATTTTGTACACTGCTTTCTTTCTTTTTTAAAGTGTGGTTTATAAATATCTAAATAAGAATATATTTTAAAACAGGCAATTTTCTGTAGTTACCATACTTTCTGCTTGCCATAGGAGACACTCACATCCAGCAATGAGCAGTGGTCCATGCTGTTGCACCCATTTTTCTTATAATTTTATTGAGGGGGAAGGCAGATGGGCACATGTGTACTGGAAATATGCAAAGAGCAACAAAACAAAAGGTGTAAAATGAGAGACAAGCCAGAAAAATATGCTGCAATCTGGACAATGCTTTGGAAACAAACTGCCACCTATTGGACAAAGCGCAACATTGCAAATGAGTATGCCAGCTTGCAGCGTTGTTAACCCCAGGCCAACGGTGGAGTGCTCACAACACATTAAGCAAAACACAAGACTGCCCAGTGAACTAATATTTGTGCTTGCCAATGTGGTGCCTTTCACTATTGTGGTCAAACTCAGCTTAGTGAAATATTACGCCAGAGCCATTGCCTGTTTATTTTTAACTCCGCTTTCCACAAATTAATTGCTCATCCATCAGAAACTGAGTGAGCCAGAACATAAATCTCCAGCACATTCTGGTGACTGAGAAGAGGCCTGCTTTTCCTCTCCCTTCCAGATGTTGTCAGGATTTAATGGGACACGTGGCTTCTCTAAACCTAGAGAGGAGATGGCAAACTACAGGTTCCATAGGACTTCAGAACATCATAAAGACTTTTTATCAGCTGTTATTGCAGACTCAGTGCTTTTAAAACCAACATTTTCGCCACTGGGATGACTCACAATTTAATATGGAGTTAAGCACATTTAGGCTCCTTTTATTTCAGTGAGAGCGGGACACGGCTAGCGCTGTGGGTAAAACCTCAGTGCCTAGGACTTGCCGATCGCATGATCGGCGGATCGAATCCCCGCGGCGGGGTGAGCTCCCATCTTTCGGTCCCAGCTCCTGCCCACCTAGCAGTTCGAAAGCACTCCCGGGTGCAAGTAGATAAATAGGGATCGCTTTCTAGCGGGAAGGTAAACAGCGTTTCCGTGTGCTGCGCTGGTGCTGGCTCACCAGAGCAGCTTCGTCACGCTGGCCACGTGACCCAGAAGTGTCTGCGGACAGCGCTGGCCCCTGGCCTCTTAAGTGAGATGGGCGCACAACCCTAGAGTCGGACACGACTGGCCCGTACGGGCAGGGGTACCTTTACCTTACCTTTACCTATTTCAGTGAGACTTGAATGTGCATGAATTACATCTTTTGCCATGTCAACTGATGGACACTTCTGCGCATGTCTACTCATCTGGTGCTATTGTGACCTGTGCAGGCAACTGTCTTGTGACAGGAGTAGACTTGTGGTCTAGAATGTGGCAGGCTGCTTGATAGCTGGATGTGTCTTGCTGAAGGAAGGCTGGTCCCAATTTCTCTGTCTTCCATCTCATGGTTCTACCTATGGGTGGCAACCATTTTAGGCATGTCCAATTGACATGCAATTGCGGCCATGTGAGTCCTTTTAGACCAGGAAGAGGGGTGGAATGGGGCAGGCCTACTGCCACTATGGCCTGAAATTAAGCAGCTGTATGTGACAAAGTACTGACCTGCCACACAACACACAGTGGCTGCCATCCAACATAGACTGTTCCTAGCATTGCTGGTTTGTAACCAATTGTTCTAATCACAGCTATGAAAAGATTGTCCATATTGGAGAGGTGGAACCTGTGGCCCTTCAGATGTCGGACTACAAGTCCCATCAGCTCCCTCTAGCATAGGCAATGGTCAGGGATGGTGGAGTTGTAGTCTAACTGTATCTGAGGTGGCATCCGATGCCCTGGTTCCATTAGCTCAAGGATTTATGGTTGTGCAATAGACCTTTGCCCCCTTTCTCCCATATATGCTCCACCTGTTGTCCCTAAGTCTGTTCCAGAGGGTTGCTGAAATCCCAGAACAGATTTAGGAGGCATGTAGAGGGTGGGGAAAGTTTCATTGTACGAAGTTAAATCCTTGCACTAATGGACTTGATGCTACTCTCGATAAAAGTCCTGGTCTATATGCAGTCATGCCTTGGTTCTCAAACACCTTGGTACTCTTACATTTTGGCTCCCGAATGCCGCAAAGCCAGAAGTAAGTGTTCTGGTTTTTAAACATTTTTTGGAAGCTGAACTTCCAATGCAGTTTCTGCTTGAGTGCAGGAAGCTGCTGCAACCAATTGGAAGCCGTGCCTTGGTTTTTGAACAGTCAAATGGACTTCCGGAACAGATTATGTTCAAGAACCAAGGTATGACTGTATACTGCTTTGATGAGCAAATATAAGCATCACAGGTTTACCTCTTCCATGGTAGGGGGTAAACTAATGCAAGCCTACTACTTTTTTGAAAAAAGGCTAGAGGGCATCTGGTCTAGTGTGCTAGAGGACAATTGCTTAGGAGGCATTTCTGATGCTTTCAGATCATCTGAAGAGGCCCCCTAGTGCCAATACTGTCTTTGGACAGTTCTCTTGGTAAAAAAAAGTAGAGTATGATTAATACCAGTAGAAACGTAATTCCTCTCTTCACATGGAAGGATTTATTCTAATAATGGAACATCAGACTATATTTTATTGCACCCTGGATATGGTACTATGTAACTTTATGATTTCTATGAAACTGAAAATACAGAAAAGGAGAATGATTGTGATGCGGTAAAGGACTAACATATTTATTGGGGCATCAGCTTTCATGGAAAGCTGATGCCCCAATAAATCAGCTGAATATTTCAAACCAACCAGGACTCTGTTTATTAAATATTTAATATGACAGAGGCTCAGGGTATCGCTATTCAAAAACTACAGAGGTGCTCCAGTACCACCTTCTGGAAGAAAGTGTAATTACATGGTACCAGAAAAGAAGGGAGCGGGGGGAGGGGGAGGGAGAACTGGTACTTTTTCTAAAAGCCCTTTTTCTATTTTTTTAATGTTTCCAAAGAGAAACTATTTTGAAATAAGATGTATCTTTCTTTACAGTTCTAGTTTCCATATTTTCTCTCTTCTGTATTATTTCTCTTGTTCTCATCCTTTGCTACCATTTTATGCTTTAGGGGAGGGGTAGTACCTCTGGTGTTAGGGACGTGGCTGGTGCTGTGGGTTAAACCACAGAGCCTAGGACTTGCCAATCAGAAGGTCGGCGGTTCGAATCCCCGCAACAGGGTGAGCTCCCGTTGCTCGGTCCCAGCTCCTGCCAACCTAGCAGTTCGAAAGCACATCAAAGTGCAAGTAGATAAATAGGTACCGCTCCGGCGGGAAGGTAAACGGTGTTTCCGTGCGCTGCTCTGGTTCGCCAGAAGCAGCTTAGTCATGCTGGCCACATGACCCGGAAGCTGTACGCCGGCTCCCTCGGCCAATAAAGCGAGATGAGCACTGCAACCCCAGAGTTGGTCACGACTGGACCTAATGGTCAGGGGTCCCTTTACCTTTACCTTTTATTACCTCTGGTGGGGGACAGGTCATGCTCCTCTCTGGTAGTTTGTCCACCTTTGGTTCCCACCCTGAACTCGGCTCTCACCTGTGGCCCCTTGAAGCTGTCAGCATGCAACAGCGGCCACAACCCAGGAATGGCTTTGACTGGCCAGCTAAACCAGATGAGGGTAACCAATAGGTCAGTGAGTTAGGGACTTCCCCTGCCTGCAAAGACAAGCTCTGGTGGATTGAGCAGATGAGACCAAGAGCGGATCCAGTGGTGGTTTCTGCACATGCTGTAGGGGGAAGTGAGAGGCAGGGGGAGTTTGTTAACCTGGGAAGGAAAACTGATCCTAAACCTCCACTGTCTTTCAGGATATCTCCAGGAAAAGAAAAGGGTAAGGAAGCCAGGATGTGTGCATGGCAGCTGGCGCCCCCACCTTGGCTACGCCCATGGTAAGGAGTGAACCCAACACAAATCTGGAGTGGAGTCCCTATGACAGCTGGCCAGGTGGGGCTTGCTGGCTCTGGGAGGAGGGGTGTGATTCCTCAGTTGGCGTAAGCTTGGGGCAGGTGAGGGTAACCTGCCTCATCAAGCCCAGATGCTGCAAAAGAGAAGCAGAGCTGAGGTGTCTGTTCAATGGCACATGTTGATGGACTTTGGCTTGGATGTTCCTGGATCTCTAGGGGACGATGCTTCAGTATCCTGTATCTTGACTGTTGGACTTCAGACTTGGCTACTTGGATTGACCATGGACTGCGTTTCCTGACCTTTGGACTTTGCTTGCGTGACTTGACCCTCGGACTTTCAACTTGACATACTGACTTGCTGCCAGGTAGGCCAGGGGTTCAGGACACCATTTATGTTTTTAAAATGAAGCAGAAACTTCAATAGGAATAACACAAAATCAACAAAGATAATACAAACTAGTCATTTATTTTCATGTGGTATCATAAAAAGCAAAAATACTTGGCTTTAAAACCCTTGTTACTTTACATATTGGCTGTTTCATATAGAAATAAATTATAAGCAATGTAAAAAAAAAAAAGGCGCACATTAAATTCTGGATTGGGGAAAAAACAGATTTCAGTATAAGGAACCTCAAAGGAATTTCAAATATTATATAGTCACACAAACCCAATAAAATAGGATATTATGGCTTGTCATCTGAAAATAGAGTATTTTAAAGCAAAGAATTTATTTTACACTGCAGTTAATTTAATGAGAACTCGAGCTTGATGAACTGCTTATGAATGAGTAGCAGTTTTTAATTTTTAGCAATGATGGCTTTAACTCTTTCAGATGCAATTTTCTGCTGCAAAAGATATATACAGGCAGAAAAAAGTAATTAACTTTATTGAAATGCAACAGGAAAATAGCTAATGAGAAAGTATAATGAATATTTTAAGATACTTATTTTGTCACAACTTTTCATTTTGTTTCAATACAAAAGCTGTCTAAAACCATAGTGTCAGGATTAATGTATTAAAAATAGAGGGAGAATATGCGCACTCAAAATTAGTGCAATAAAACTGGCAACACACAAGAAATGCCAGGCGGTTTCAAAGTTATACACAAATAGCTCAGTAACCAAGGAAAAGTATTGAGAGGATATAAAGAAAGCAAGACCAACTGGAATGAAACACCACAAGAAATCAGTGTTTGTTAATTGTGTGCAGGTTTTGCTCTCAACGGGTCAGGAAGGAGATGAGGCTAAGCTCAGGATTGCCATTTCTAAAATAATATGGCTCTGGAGGGCCTTTGCTGCAGCTGCTTTTCTGAATCTGGATTTCCACAGATGCCCTTTTTAGCATGGGAAGGGAAGCCTTGCTAGGCCTTCATTGGACTAGACCAGGGATGTGGAACCCTTGGCCCTCCAGAAGTTGCAGGACAACTCCTCCTATTGGCCATGCTGGCTGGGGATGATGGGAGTTGAGAGTCTAACATCTGGATGGCAACAAATTAGCTATCCATGATCTACTCATAACCTGGGGAAGGTTAGGCAAGTTTAGGCCTTTGCGGGCATAATCCACTTTCAGGGCTGCCTAAGTGGGTGCGTATCTTAGTACCCTAGTATACATACTGGGGGTAGCTTTATTTATTTCAGCTATGGTAATTACCAAAGTTTTGTCTGATTATTAGACTTGGTAAAGTTAAACCTCAGCTTCTTCACTGGGAGGCTACTGAAAGATAGAAGCTTCCATACAGTTCTACCTTGTTAACTCTTCAGAGGAAACGGTTAACTACAACTGTCATTACTAAGGCCCTTGAAGGAAAGAGAGAGGGGTTGATGGGAATGCAAGATTTAATGCCTGTAGACTCAATGTGGTTTTCAGCAAGCCAATCTCATTCTATACCATACAGTACCAATCAACCTTCCTTACAGCAATGAAGTGTTCTGAGCATTGTAAAGTGGCTTCACAGCAAAACATGTGCTGGGCTTTAAAAGCATCACAACTGATGCCTTCTCATTCTTGCCTGATGCAATGTAGGCACTGTAGTACGTTGACTGCCAAGGACACAGGGCCATCTAGTTATCACTGGCACCCAGAACTAGGGCAAGACATGCAAGAGCTTCAAAGAATTGAGGAGTCCAGGCACAAAGTGGGGGGTAGATATACATGCACAGCTGGCTACTGCAGTGACATAAAGTGAGAGGCAGTTGGCAGCAAAGTCCATTTCAAGGCACTTAGTTGCTCTGGCATTCTACATTAAGATGGATGGGTTCATGGATACAGAGGCTGGAATATAGATAGGAAAGAAGATTGCAAAATTGATTGGCTTAGCTTCTCCTAGGTCTCCTGCTATGCAGGTCTCGGGTTACACCTAGGATTGTATGGAAAAACAATGGCTGATTCCAATTCTGAAAACAAAGTCCAGCAATTACCAGGATCTATCTGCCTCCTTAAGCACAAAACACAAGTTACTTATTAAAAAAAACAAAGTAAAGAGAAACACAATAGTTTTCTATTAGCAAAGTTGGAGGGAAATGTTAGATGATGTTCAAAGTGTGTATGTGGGGGGGGGGGGACAACTGATGTGCTGTGGGTTAAACCACAGAGCCTAGGACTTGCCAATCAGAAGGTTGGCGGTTTGAATCCCTGCAACGGGGTGAGCTCCCATTGCTCGGTCCCTGCTCCTGCCAACCTAGCAGTTCGAAAGCACGTCAAAGTGCAAGTAGATAAATAGGCACCGCTCTGGCGGGAAGGTAAACAGCATTTCCGTATGCTGCTCTGGTTCGCCAGAAGCGGCTTCGTCATGCTGGCCACATGACCCCAAAGCTGTATGCCGGCTCCCTCGGCCAATAAAGCGAGGTGAGCGCCGCAACCCCAGAGTCGGCCATGACTGGACCTAATGGTCAGGGGTCCCTTTACCTTTACTTTACCTACCTAATGGCTTGAAGGCTAAGGTCTTTGCTGTGTTTGAAGGTTGAGGATGCGGACCATAAAAATCTAAGAGGAAAATCATCAGACTGTCTCTTTTGGTGCAGACCAAGCCAACCTTTATGATCTTCTGATGATGCCCTGCTGGTCATTCATTAACCAGAAATGGGTATGCTGTTATGGGGATGTTTTTGATGGTGTCTCTCTCGAAGTGGACCCATTGTTTCGTCTCATCTTCTAGAATATACTGGATTATGGTTGGCAATGTAATATGATTCTATGTTGGGGATTATCCATCCTCCTCCTGAGGAGGGCAGGTGCAGGTATTTGGGGCTTATTCTTGGCTTTTAGTGTGAGAAAATAAATGAGTATATATTTTTTTGCCACTTCTGGAGCTGGGCTGGGGGAATCCAGATTTGGGAGGCTTTGGAATAAATAGGTTAGTTTTGAGAGGGTAATCATTTTGATCATGGCTATTTTGTCTGAGAGGGTGAAGTTGGTGTTGTTCTATTTTCTCAAGTCTCTGTTGATTTGTAGCCACAAGGGCTTGTTATTGTGGAGGTATAATTTGTTGAGGTTTCTAGTTATTTGAACCCCTAGGTACCTGAATTTGGTGCGGCAGAGTTTTATCTTTGTGATGTTGAAGCATATAGCCTCAGATTTTGCAAAGTTTATTTGTAGTTTACTTGTAGGCCCAACACCTTTGTGAATGTGTTGAGTTCTTTAGTTAGGGTGGTTGCTGTGTTTATGGGGTCTGGTGTTGTGACCATCAGGTTGTCTGCAAACAGCCCTCGTTTGTAAGTTTATCCTTTTATTTCCGCACCCTTGATATCTGGGGCTGCTCAGAGTAGGATAGTTAGGGGTTCCAGGGCTAAGATGAATAGGAAGGGAGACAGTGGGCATCCTTGCTTTGTGCCTCTTTGGATTGCTGTGGTATTGGAGTCCATATTCTTAATTCTGCATTTTGCAGTTAAGGTTGGCATGGTCAGCCCTGTTAGGAATCTTCCAATTTCCTGTTCAGATGGGTTGCGGGAGGTGCATAGGTTGGCATAAAATCCAGCAAATTCTGAAATTATTTCTTTGGTGGAGGATGTTATGTTACTGTCTTTTTTAGTGATACAGTGTATTCTTGTTTTGAGTGATTTTTTCCCTGCATCTGTTTGCTAACAGTCTGGAGTTCTTCCCTCCATATTCGTAAAAGTGTTGTTTAGAGTATAGGATGTTAATCATTGTTTTATTGATTTCTAGAGAGTCAATTTCTCTTCTTTTTTGTTCTATGAGTTTAAGGAGTTTTTTGGCTCCCGATTGATTGTAGTGTGATGAGAGGGTCGTAATGTCCTGTTCTAGTTTACTAATTTTTGAGGAGGTTTGTTTTTTAAGGGATGCCCTCTCCTTTTATGCAGGCTCCTCTGATGACTGCTTTCATTGTGTTCCAGGTGGGTTGCAATGTTGCCCACAATGTTGCCGCAATGTTGTCCTTAAAGTAGTTTTGGAGAGTTTTCAAGAGACTCTCTCTAGCTAGTTCATGGGTAGGCAAACTAAGGCCTGGGGGCTGGATCTGGCCCAATCGCCTTCTAAATCCTGCCTGTGGATGGTCCGGGAATCAGCTTGTTTTTGCATGAGTAGAATGTGCCCTTTTATTTAAAATGCATCTCTGGGTTCTTTGTGGGGCATAGGAATTTGTTCATTTCCCCCCAAAAATATAGTCCGGCCCCTCCACATGGTCTGAGGGACGGTAGACAGGCCCCCGGCTGAAAAAGGTTGCTGACCCCTGAGCTAGTTGTTTGTGGTTAGGATGAGGCTGAAGAACCATGATGGGGTATTTTGTGCTTCCTCTCCTATTTTGAGAGTAGCTTCTACTGGGGTGTGGTCTGGGATTTTAATGTTACCCATGGTTGTTGTTTCTACCAGGGGGAATCAGGCCTTGTGTGAGCAGAATGCTGTCCAGTCTGGACACTGAGTTGGAGCTCTCTTGAGATTCTGAAATTCTGGCCTGCCTTGCTCGATTGTGCCCCAAGTGAAGACGTCAGCAAGGGTAAGCAAAGTCAATCCATTGCCTTCATGCCTGTTGAATAGGAAACATCCCTGTTGAAGAGGTAACCAGGCTAACGATCCATATTTTGCCATGCTGTGAAATTTATGTTATTGCAGTACAGTGTGGCAAAAATAAAAAGGTGTTGGTCTGGTTGGCTTGTTAACAGGGATGTGTCCCTCCCCCCCAAAAAATCCATTCAGACCAAGGGATAGGCCTGCAAAAACATAATTTCACCCCCTTTTGTAAGGTCCTTTGAAAGGTCACCAAAGGGGAGGCTCATGTAATGGCTTGAATAAGCTTTTAGCAGAAAGCATCAAAATGCCTTTTTGGCACAGCATTCATTTCAAGTGAAATCTTGAATAAAATTACCTCTTCAATAGGCTCTGAAAGTAGAATGGGGCCAGTTCAAAGAACAGTGGTGTATAATGAGTTCATTGTTTGGAAAGGGAATAGTTGAGGCAATTACAAGCCTTACTGAAATGTAGAGATGTATACTGGCCTTCCTTTTCCACATTTAGCACCTCTTATTCTATGATAGAAATAACTCATACTGCAAGAGATCAGTTTGTTTTTCCTAAAGGAAAAGCAAAAGCAAATCTCAACCAAAAATTAATATACCTCCTGACAAGATAATAAATACTCAAACTTGATATAAATATAGCACTCATATTCTCCAATAAACTCCACTGTTCAGACAAAATTAAAACAAAACAATAAGGACTTAATATTTAATTTCCTCACATGACACACAGCTTTGACAAATTCATATGAGGGCAACTTGCTATTTGACAAGTGAGCAACACAGTAGGAATCTTGCCCCCTTTTGCTTAGTGTTCGGCTTTTTCAAACTGAAACATTCATAAATAGAGCTCAGTCACTGCTGAGATGATACATTTATGGACCAATTACTATAAAAAGTAAATTATTTAAACCTTAAAAAATTGAGGATGAAATATAAGCAGTTATTGAAACATTGCCTTCATCCTATGCAGTGTGTCCTGGATTTTCCGAGACTGCTTTTCAGCTGGTATCTGGTAAAAGTTGGCATAGTTGTCTGCTGCTAAGGCAGAGATGTCTGCATCACTAAAAGATGCTATTCTGTGTCTTAAGAAAGATTGCAGCCGGTGATCTGGAGAGAACAAGTAGCGGTTTTCTTGCAGTGCATGAACCTGGCTCACAACTTTCGCAATGTTTCTTAAAACAAAAACAAATTAAAGAAATGAGTTAGTTTCCCAGCTGATAAAGGACAGAAAAGACTAATGTGTATATAATAAATATTTTCAATTTTTTTTTGGTAGACACACACAAGGCATTATACAATAAAATCAAACCAAGTCAACTCTTTTTACCTTTATACCTATAGTGAGATGCCAAAATACTGAATGTACTTTTAAGGTTTCCATTGCTCTATATTGGTTTGTGAAGAATTCTGTGGCATAAGTAAGATTACCTAAGTTTAGTCCATTTATATGTCCCATTTCTCATCGTAAATCCTCCAGTTTCAAGCTGCTGAACATGCATTGCCAGAACATGGGCCGATGGAATTGTTGGTGAAGTCTTAAATCTCTCTCCTTCCATTAAACACAAGCTGTCACTTTTTAAAAACACCTGGTATAATTTGTATAGATACATATGCAGACACATTAGTACATGGCATAAAAGATAAATCAGATGGGGGCTTTAGGGCACTGTACATAACATGCTCAGTGCAACAATAGTGTTTTAGGGAAAAGAACCGGGATTAGAGAAGGAAATCATGCAGACGAGTAAGTGAAGCTTAACTTGAGTAAGAGATTGGCATGACACAGCCTGGAAACTCATCTCCAGCCAGGTGAACCTGGACAGGGCAATGTAACATCTTAAACAATTGAAGTGGCCGCATATCTCTTTCATTGGAACCGAGGGTCCCCTGGAATGTATTTCAGAAACTGTAGTCAGGCCAAGAGAATTACTAGATTTTCAACAAGAAGCACTTCTGGATTTAGCAAGCCAGAGTCCAAGGGGCAAAGTTAGTGGTAAGACAACTACTTCTGTTTACAAGTTAAAGATGATTATCAGCATGTCTACTGATATGCATGTCTAGTCAGAAATAATCCCAATTAGTTTCAGTAGGACATAGCTCCAGATGTGTGTATTAGATAACATACAATTGATGGATCGATTGACTTTCTCAGTTATACTGAATCTAGTAAGATAAAAGCTATTCGGAAACAAAGGTAGGGATTCCTTTCCTGAATGTATTTCCAATTCCTCCACCAATCACTATCCAGAATTTGTATGTATGTTCTTTATAGCAAAGAATTTGAATATGGGTTATCTTGAGGGACAGGTAAAACCGATCAGCGGGGGCAAAGAACAAAAAGCTTTGTTGTTCAGAAGATAAGAGGCTCTAGCTCTGACTAGGGAAATCTGGTTTAAATTCCCCCGTAATCATGAAGGCTCACTGTTTGAGAAAGTCTCCCCTAGGATCACAAGATTGTAGAGAGGATAAATGAGCTTCTTGGGAGTAATACTGGGACAAGTGTAAAATGTAAAATAAATAAATATTGTGCTAAACATAATGTGTTGGATTCGGGACCCATTAAAAACAGTGTGAACAATAAGTGTAGAGTAGACTAAGTTAAGTCTCACTGATTTCAATGGAACTTAATTTCACCTAACCAATTCTGGATCCAACCTATTTGGCACAATCCAAAATGAGAGGTGTGCAAGTTCCATTGCTTTCAGCTTTCTACAGATGCCTCAAATTTCCCTAGAAAAGAAAAAAAAGTATGTACATTTTCTTACTAAAACTGGATTTGCTGGGAAGTGGAGAAGTGGTAGGGAAGAAAAAAAGAATAACTTGAAGTTGGCTCCTGTACCTATCCACAATTCACATAAGAGATTATATTTTTGCAGTACCTCAACAGCCTTTAGTTCTTCCATTATTTCAGACACTTTAGAAGACAAGCATTTCCAAACCTTAGTGGAAAAAGGAAATTAAACAAAGTGTTAGTCCTCTGAAGCTTGGACTTTGATCTGCAATTCAACATATTGCCTGTCCAAAATATATTATAAAACTACAATATCTGGATGAATTGCAAAGTGAATGCTTACTCACTGGTAATTGTCTCACAATGAGGTTTTCCAGTCCTTTTAGGATTTGCATTGCGGTCGCAAAATTTCTTTGCTCATAGCAACATTTTGCAATGAAGAGTAATTTTGATAGCAAGTTCACCTGCATCTGGAATAAAAATAATAATACATGTTTTATAGAACGTGCTGATATTTAGTGCCAATGTGTGTGTGAGACGTATGCTTGGAAACCCTCACAATGAGGCACCAGTGAACCTATTACTGTGCATATTGTTAGGCAATGGGAGAAGGCAGGGCTGTTCTAAGGAGGAAAATGAAAACAGCTAACTGCAGAACAACCCAATGCGTGGAAATGCATTATCTACCATCTATAAGCTGGCAAAAAAGGTTGACTTTTAGAGCAGACTCTATAAAATTATATAGTTATCAAATATTGCTTTACATGTTGGAAAGAGGTATCATGGAACACTTATTTCATGACATCTTTATTCTGTAAAACCCTGTATTGACCACATTTCTTAACAACAAGAAAAGTGGATGTTCTCTAATTGCTTGTTTTCTGGTTGCCAGTCAACAACTATGTGCATTTCTGAAGAATGCTATAGATAGAAACATGGAAAGCTATTAAAAGAACAGCTAACAAAATTTCCTGCTGTGCATGTTGAAAAAAGAATCTACCGGTAACTTATTCTTTGATTGAGGTTGGTGCTATCAAAATGATAAGAACAAGAATTCTCAAATTGACAAAATGAATCAACATATGAAATAGGAAGACAGGGTGTACGGACCCCATGCCGCTCTCGTCTATAGTATAAAGTTAAAACAGTCCAGCAAAGCAACCTGGCACTGGTAATATATTTTATTAATAGAAATATCTGGGATTTGAACCTTTTGAATTGGCAAGCTGGACTCAGCTAAAGAAACTATAGCATAAACACATCTTGGCTGCATTGGCTGAAGAACTGAATATTGCAAACAAAACAAAAACCAATATTTTTCAGCAAACATGTCAACAGTGCAAACTTTTTATGGTTTCCTTTTAAACCTGCTAAAAATGTATAAATGAATTGAGCCTTTCACAACAGCACCCAATTTATAAAAATGCCATGCATCAGTGGCATATAAATTGCATTTCTATTATTTTATGTTAGGAAACTCATCAGCTCATCAATTATCCTACTGTATATGTTTCCCCCCTAAAGTATTGAAATTGGATAAGAAAGCTTATTATGGTTCCAAGTAAATCCTGACATTAAAAAAAATATGTATCATCTGTGCACATGAAGGAAAAAGGCAGTGAAGTGCAGTGGTTCTTATACATCATACTAGAATTTCCCTTTGGGATATAAATGGGGCAGATAAATGCACAAATAAAACTCCTTCCAGTGTCCTTCCTTCTGCATGCATCTGCTGGGAGTCTGGCACTGCAAGACCCCTGCAGGCAATTGACAACCAGGACATTGTTTATTCACCAGTGACTGTAGAATTATGGAGAGCAGCTGCTTTCCAGGAGATCCCTGCAAATTACAACACTGCCAATGAAAAGGCCATGCTGATTTCCTGGAACTAAAGCCAAACAAACAACTGGAGCTTGCAAGACTGTGGCCATAAGAGATTTCCACATGGGCAAGAACAAAATGGGTGACCAAGTGACGAGGAGAGGATCCTCATCTTGTTAGAGCTGAACCGAGGGGCAGAGATATGGGTCTTTCTACATAACTTAGTTTATTTATGGGACTTTTATCCAACCTTTACACTTTAGCAGGGGGGCACTCAACACAGAACAAGAAAAGCATTTCCACCTTTCTCTCTCTCTTCCCCTCTAAATTGCATCCTAAAACAATAGTTCTGAATAATACTCTTAAAGAGTTCCATAGACTTGGTCATGTTATGCCTCATTTGTTTCTGGAGTACTAAAAGATTGCACCCATTGTCAATGGACTATGTGCAGAGATGCGCAAAGGAAAAGCATTCATCTCAATTTCTGCTGAATTCAACTTGCTGCCACACATGTACAAATAGATGACAGATATTTCATCACACTGTGAGAAACGGTGACGTTTTATTGGTAAATTACTTTTTAAAAGGAAAGTCAGTATGAATGGTAAAGCCAACAGATGCAATTATGGCAAATTGCAGTCTCCTATTGAACCAGAAGGAGATTGTTGAAAGGCAAGCAGCTTAGCAGTTTTATCTACTGATCTGCTCCTGGTCCCAGATATTTTTTTGAACGTTAATAGAAAGATATGTCAACTGTACACTTCTGCCAACACTTGCAGAACATAACATTCCAATAAAGCAAATTTAATGAAAGGTGGAATCATGCCCTGAATCATAAAAATGAGAGATGGGTTCATGCAACCATGTAGCTGTGGCTATCTTAAATACTGCAAACCTGACCAAATTAGTGTGAAATAACATTTTATAAACTTTAACTTTAGATAGAGATCTTTTCATCTCAAGCATGGGGAAAAGCCCCTTGATGGCAAGAACATATTTATAACGCAAGATTAAAGGTGAATTCTAATACCCACTTC